TTTAGATTTACTTTTAGATATTGAATTAAAAATAACAGAACAGAAATCTAAAGATGGTCTAACCAGTGTGAGATAAAGAAAACGTTTTGTAGGAATATCAAAAGATCTACAATTGCGCCACATCATTCCCAAGACTCTGTTGGCCCTCGCCTTAATAAAATTAATATGATAAGTAAACGTTAACCTTGAATCAATAAATATACCAAGATCTTTATGATAATCTACTTTAATGAGTGCATTGCAATTGATTTTATAGTCATATTTCAAAGGATGCTTTTTCAATGTAATTGATAAAACCTTAACACTTGTCGGGATGTAGTATCATACAAGACGCTGACGCCCAACGGTACAACGTGTACAAATCTTCCTGGAGCCTACCAGGTACCCACTTGTACTCCTGGGTGGAGAGAGGCAACCGTAGATAAAGTGCCTTGCCCAAGGACACAAGTGATTTGCACAGCCGGAGTTTCGATGATTAAAACTACGATTTCGGTTCAATAATTTTTTGGTTTCAAAAAATATCGATATTTTAGGCTTCAATACGATTTTTTTACAAAATGGAAGGCCAAAACTCATTAAATTTCACATTTTCTACACAAGGTACAAACGCAAATTTAAAATCTATCTAGAATAATTATTAAACTACCCAGTAATGTAAACATTTACTATATATATAATGTTTGGGATGCAACTCCTACTAATCAAACCATTATGTACCCCACCACTGAAGAGTCGGTACTCCGATAACATTGAAAACATGCTAGGTAGGAGGACGCGACACCGCAACTGTTGCAGGTCGATGTCTAGGCTAGGCCTACTTCACAATTCAAGTCTTCCAGGTGTTGTCTAGCGTGCTGCGTACGTGGGCCTGGTGTAGGCCTAGGCATGATAGAGGTTTTATGGTGTCATAAAATATGTAAGGCCCTATAAAAAAAAAATATTAGTTTATCACCCACTCCCCATCATTTTGGGAAAATTCAGATTTTTAAAAAAAATCAACATAGATTTCTCAAACAATTATTTTTAGTTCCTTTGTGACCTTAGGTCACATGGAACTAATGTAATGGTTCACATGAAAAATGTGTGTATGAGATGTGACACCAAAAGAGGTCAGCATATTTGTAAACAAATAGGCTCCGAAACGGTGCATCGCGTCAGGTATACATTGTGCTCTCGATAGTTGCTGGTGGACATGCAATTGTGCAAGAAATGTTTGTTTTTTCGGTTAGATGAAAAATGTAAGCTGTATGCGATAAAACATATACCTCCTACCACCAGTTTTGAGTTGTTTTTTAGTTGAAAATTTGATTTGCGCATGCCTCGGGTCAAACTTTCCCGACAATTCTTTCTGTCGCGAGCTGCGTAGAAAAGTTCTTTATGTTGTTTTCGCGACTGTCAGTAAATCAACATTTGTGGAATTATTTTCCAAGAAATGATGGTTAAAAATTCTGGACACATAAATATGCAGCATGTGATGGACGGACGAACCTAATGGTTGACGGGGGCAGCATGTGATGGACGGACGAACCTAAGGGTTGGCGGGGGAACGGAAGTTCATCAAATGATGTTTGGGAAAATAATGGTCAGAAAATACAGCATCTGATGGGCAGTCCCAGGGGGTGGGGGGAACCTTAAAATTATGGACACATAAATTTACAGCATAACTTCATCAAATGATGTTTGGGAAAATAATGGTTAGAAAATACAGCATCTGATGGACAGTCCCGGGTGGGGGAGAACCTTAAAATTATGGACACATTTTACAGCATGTGATGGACTGACCGTCTATACACATATACAGCATGTGATGGAGGCATGTATCTGATGGACAGTCCCGGATGGGGGAGAACCTTAAAATGGACACATAAATTTACAGCATAGCTTCATCAAATGATGTTTGGGAAAATAATGGTTAGAAAATACAGCATCTGATGGACAATCCCAGGTGGGGGAGAACCTTAAAATTATGGACACATAAATTTACAGCATGTGATGATGGACTGACCGTCTATACACATATACAGCATGTGATGGAGGCATGTGATAGACGGACGAACGTATGCCTTTCTTTAATTAATTTCCAGTAAAATAATTACTACAACTTCAAGAAAACTTGTGTTTTTATTGCATAAATTAATTTCACAAGCTTTTATTCTGAAATATAGCGGTATCAGTATTCTTTCTATAACGGTACAAGCCACAGGGAACCAGACTTCGAACAGAAAGTTTCAACAGCCCACGTGTGTTTTGTTGCGACATCATAAATGAAGCTGCTCACGTGACCTCTAGGACCACACTCCCGAAAAGAAGTTTATTTATTGTTTTGAGCGAAGCAATTTCGAATAAAACATGTTTCAAAATTGTTTGAGTGAACGTAACTATGAAAATAATTATTTAAACAACCCAAACCATTGCTTGATTGTCGTAGAAAATGTAGTAGGAATCACAGTACAGCACTGTATAGTGAGTATAGTATAATTACAAATACTAGCCCTTCAAAGCCTAGGCTAATTAATTGGGCTAGGAGCATAGGCCCAAGCTAGACAGACGATGCCTGATTTTCGCTGCGGTTCGCGATCTGAACTTTTTGGGAGTAGGTTTAACAACCGATGTATAGGCCGCACCCCAAACTTCGAGGGGAAAATCGCATATAAAATTTGCAGCTTATTCACCGGAAAATACGGTTTATGGAGCAAAAATTTGTGTTTCTTCATGATTTTAAGGGAGGTAGGAGAATTTGTATGAGGCTGGGTGGAATGCCTTAAAAATAGCTTTAGGATGGGCGCAAGACGTCAAGAGTGGGCGGCGCCGCCCTGCATAACGACATCCCTGCACTTCTCAAAACCCCTTACCCCCCCCTTTCATAAATTTCTGGATCCGCCTCTGATTTTTTTTGACTGAAAATGAAAATACTGTATTACCTTACACAATCATTATTCAAAAAGATACAATAAGTTATTACAATTCACAAATGTACATTGATTTTTTACGTATAAAGGAACGTACGCACCCGCAGGGTTATTGTTCTTATACTTTTCTCACTTCAAAAGCTCAGGATTTCTTGCAAATATGTTTACTGGTACAACAAGAACATATTTTTTTTAATATAAATTTGATTCCAATATTATGACTTTTTATATATTTTTCCTTAACTATTAATTTACCAGCAAAAAAGGGGGTAGGCTTAGGTAAAAAAAACCCTCCCTTATCAGTTGTTATTCTTTGATAGGGTGATAAACTAATACATTTTTTAATCGGGCCTAATGTATTGTATTAATTATCGAACAACTACACTCTCACACAAAACCACCTTATGACAACTTAAAGAAAGAAGTGAAGATTTGAAATAATTAAGGTCCATACTTTTATTTATTAAAACAAAGCTATATAAAAATAACAAATTATATAAATGTTGTTACATGTTTTAATCTAAATATCTAATAATTTCAATTTGTATAAAAATACTTATTTACAAATCACCTCATGAAAAAATTGTTATTGTATCAAATTGCATGGCAATTGTACTCACAGAAAATTACAAAAAATTGAAAAGTAGTTACTAAAATATCTACTAATTATATTGTTAAGTATACACATTGACACCCAATTTGGCATTATCAGACTGTTAGGGCTTATTGTATGTTTTATTACTGTCGCATTTAATAAGCCACTGGACTTTTCTATAAGAACACATTTTATAAGAACAAATTGAGGCTGAGGTAAAAAAAACCAAAAAAAGAACCAACATCAATATTGATACCTTTTTTCTAGTACTGTACATGTAATACTACTGTAGAGTAAAGTAATATAGGCCTATGTACAATAATAATTTTCTACATTTGTAAAGTATGTTAAACAAAATAAGAACATTTTGTGTCTGACATCGGCAAAAAAAATAATTACGCTGATCCTGGGAAAAAATTTTTCGGTACTTGCTCTTATAAAAAAAAAGTGTACTGTCACATTACTTGCAAGTTATATAGTATTGTTTATAATTTACGGCCTAGAAAATTTTGCAATAACCGTCAAAATCTCCAATGTGGCTCTCCGACTGCAATGCTGTATCTTGTGAGAATATTTTATTTAGTCACTGTTTTTGTTATACCAACACAACAGGGCTGCTTCCGGCTAAATATTAAAATAATCAAATAGGATACTTGCTTTTTGTATTAGGTATAAAAGCAAGCCATATATTTATCATAAATTTTATAGTAATTGCAACTGGTGTAATCATTAATAATAAAATAAATAGAAATAAACAAGCATTCCGTAACATGTTTGTAATGTCCGTCGTTAAGATCATTAGCGTTTTTGGGGTATAAAAGCAAGCCATAGATTTATATTGTTTGGCTCATACATTTTATAGTAATTGCAACTGGTGTAATCATTAAAAATAAAATAAATAGAAATAAATAAGCATTCCATAACATGTTTGTAATGTCCGTCGTTGTTAAGATCATTAGCATTTTGATTGTTTGTCCACTTTGCAGTAGAATATCCTGTGTTTAACTGGAAGTTAAGAACTTAGTATATTTAAATGAGCATTAAAGCATTTTAAAAAGATTTTTTGGAAGGTTTTTTTACTCTAAAGGAATTAATTTTAAAAAGCAATCATGGTTTAGATCTGTAATTTGATTGGCTGATCAAGTTCAGATTACAGTGCCCCAGTAACCTGGTAAATGAGGAAAGAGTGAGTTGTAATTTTATATAGTAGCTGATTTTGCTTTGTATATATTAAGGAAGGATGTTGGTTAGAAGTGTCTGAAATTAAGCAACATTATGACATTGCCATAATCATGTGATTAGGCATTAGTCTTTCTAAAAATTCGAAGCAGGAATGGAATAACCCTAATTTATTTATCCCATTTGAATGTGGGTTTATCTTTTGTTTACTTTAGCAAGAGTTTGAAGTGCAATACACCAACACATAGCAAGCGTAATTTATCAGTTTTGAAGATGGTCCAAAGATCAGTGATTGATACAGAACACTAGCACTTTTGGTAGGCCTGCGTAAATGAAACTGGGTGTATGTGTGTTCTGCCGAGAATAGTGGCCTAGCTTAGAGAATAAATCCAAAACATTGGTATATATTAAAAGCAGCTTGGATCTAATATATTTGTGTTAATAATTCACATGGTTTCAATAATCTCAGATGAGATGTTACAATTACTTGAAAGTGTTGTCATTAGGAGTGAGAGTCCCGCATTGCTTGCAAGTAAGTGTGTATGCCTTTATTACTTTCCCAAAGTGTTGTTATACTCAAAGTTGTCCCAAATTCATCTTTGGGTCAAGATATGTTCAAATAATGATTTAATTTCTGTTTTAATGTGGTTTTTTCGTCATGTAGTAGAAGTCTGTTTGCAGTACTTTTTGTGGAATGATTTTACTGTCATAAATAAGTAATGAATTTGAAATGATCAAAAGAGATGTAATAAATATTTAAAGCATAATTTGTTGCGTCTCAGTGGTCTGCTGGGAGAGTTATGGATAACATTGACAATAAAAGAATAACCTTTGTCTAAGGATTACTGAAATGTATCTCCTACATTTGTCCTAAGAAAATTATTAATTCATTTTTAATTGTTAACCAATTATCTATCTAGGATGCAATGCACATGTGGCTTTGATTTTTATAGTCAATGCACAGGGGTCCCAAGTTGTGGAAGTGAAATTCCTGGAGATTTTGTCGTGATGGTCATTCCAAGGATTGTCGCGCGCCGCGACGCGCTATATTTAAAGCATAATTTGTTGCGTCTCAGTGGTCTGCTGGGAGAGTTATGGATAACATTGACAATAAAAGAATAACCTTTGTCTAAGGATTACTGAAATGTATCTCCTACATTTGTCCTAAGAAAATTATTAATTCATTTTTAATTGTTAACCAATTATCTATCTAGGACGCAATGCACATGTGGCTTTGATTTTTATAGTCAATGCATAAACATACTTGATTAGCTCTTAATTAAATATAAAGAAGCAAACCTCCTTACTTGTTACTTGTTTTTTATACACTACACTTGTTTATTTTTATCCCTGGTCAATGGTCCAATTGCCGAAGTGTTGCTGTCATATCGGTACAGTAGCAGGCAGATGACGAGCAAAAATAATAAATAAAATTTTAATAAATTTTTAATTTAATATTAACCCCACCCATTTATGTACTCCTGGGTGGAGAGAAGCAATGCAAATGATATACTTTGTTCACCATTACCTTATTTCATTTGCAAAAACTTAAATAAAAATATTTCTTTGAACAGAATAATGATTTTTTAAAGAATATTTAATAATTTTATGTTGTGGCGCCCTAACCTAACCACTCGGTCATCGACTCAATAAAAACAGAGTAATTAGTAATAGAATAAATTATATTTTTACTTACTGCTAGTAGTGTTATTTTTGTACATCGGCTGTATAAGATGCCCCCCCCCCCTTTCACCGTCGGAATTCATACTTTTTGCTGCTTGCTGCCTATTATTATTTTTATTTTTGTTAGGCCTATTATTATTATTATTTTGGTTTATTGCCGTTTGGACCATTGCCGTTCTGGTAAAAAGGTGTTGCCATTTGGTCATTGCCGTTTGCTTTACTGCTCTTTTGACTAGAAAGCAAAACTTTATGAAATTCTTTTAACAACACTCGTTTTGGGCATTTTATTTGGAAATCACTTTAAATGAATACTTTACAGTGAGCACATGTAATTTTGGCTTCTTTAAAGTATTATTTTGTTGCAGAAAACAGTAAAATCCAAGTCATAATTCGTGACAAAATTTTTCTCCCATGTCAAGGCTTAGGCCTACCTAGCCCTATACTTTGTAGCATGACCTAGGCCTACCCTCATTACACTGAGATGCCAAAAATTTTAATTATGAATTTTCTCATTTACGAACCCTGATCGGACGCAGGGGTACGTAATTGAGGGATGTTACTGTATTTAAAATTGTGTTTATTAATACTAACATTTAGTAAGTTCATTGCAGTAGTAAATTTACATGTTATGGACAATCCATAAGACTAACATATTAAAAAATTCAGAATATATTTGTATGACACATGTATAAGACAACCCCCTGTTTTCTGATTTTAATTTGCTATATTATACGCAAGAAAATCTTCATTACAGGTAGATTTTAATTTTTATTAATTTTTTGTTTTCATTTGATAGGGTCACATAATTTTGACAACTTGGACCTTCCGATGAAATGCCGTGTTTGTGGAGACAAAGCCTCAGGTTTCCACTATGGTGTCCATTCATGCGAAGGATGTAAGGTAAGTCTCCATTTCATTATTAAAGATGTACTGTCCCTTGAAAATGACCAAAATAATAAAAAATAATTTTTTAATTAACTTGCTCATTTTGCAGTAACATACAAATTATTAACTTGAGCATAGATATTATTAAATTTTAAAAAATGTGTTCCCTGATTTTTAGTTTCTTTGTGACCTTAGGTCACATGGAACTAATGTAATGGTTCACATGTAAAATGTGTGTATGAGATGTGACACCAAAAGAGGTCAGCATATTTGTAAACAAATAGGCTCCGAAACGGTGCATAGCGGCAGGTATACATTGTGCTCGATAGTTTGTGGTGGACATGCAATTGTGCAAGAAATGTTTGTTTTTTCAGTTAGATGAAAAATGTAAGCTGTAGGCGATAAAACACATACCCCCTACCACCAGTTTTGAGTCGTTTTTTAGTTGAAAATTTGATTTGCGCATGCGTCGGGTCAAACTTTCCCGACATTTTGTTTCTGTCGCGAGCTGCGTAGAAAAGTTCTTTATGTTGTTTTCGCGACTGTCAGTAAACATTGAGCAAACTGAGATAGTTGTGGCATATCGGGCACTTACCTGTGCTATTATTTGAAGGTATTCTGTGTGTTCTATTAGTGTTTTAGTATACTTTAATGGCTAAGATTGATGAACCGGGTGTACTTAGGGCCTAGACACATACGTAATGTAGGCTTCTCTTTGGGCGACACCGTCGGACCTGGTGTAGGCCTAGACACTTCTGATATACTATACCGTTAGGCCTACGTGAAGTAGGTTTCTTGGCCTACCACCAGCCTACCGTCAAGCAATAAAAATCATTTTTGGAATTTTTTTTCAAGAAATGATGGTTAAAAATTCTGGACACATAAATATGCAGCAAACGAACCTAAGGGTTGACGGGGGAAGCATGTAATGGACGGACGAACCTAAGGGTTGGCGGGGGCAGCATGTGATGGACGGACGAACCTAAGGGTTGGCAGGGGGACGGGAGTTCATCAAATGATGTTTGGCATGTGACAGACGGACGGACCAACCTGAGGGTGGGTGGGGGAGATTTCATCAAAACATTAGTGATGGAGGCATGTGATAGACGGACGGACGAACCTGGGGGTGGGTGGGGGAGATTTTATCACAACATTAGTTGTTGAGGGAGAGGGGCAGAGAGCTTCATCAAATGATATTTGGGAAAATAATGGTCAGAAAATACAGCATCTGATGGGCAGTCTCGGGTGGGGGGAGAACCTTAAAATTATGGACACATAAATTTACAGCATGTGATGGACTGACCGTCTATACCCGTATACAGCATGTGATGGAGGCATGTGATAGACGGACGAACATATGCCTTTCTTCAATTAATTTCCAGTAAAATAACTTCAAGAAAACTCGTGTTTTTATTGCATAAATTAATTTCACAAGCTTTTATTCTGAAATATAGCGGTATCGGTATTCTTTCTATAACGGTACAAGCCACCGGGAACCAGACGTCGAACAGAAAGTTTCAACAGCAGCCCACGTGTGTTTTGTTGCGACATCATAAATGAAGCTGCTCACGTGACCTCTAGGACCACACTCTCGAAAAGGTGGTTATTTATTTTTTTGAGTGAAGCGATTTCAAATAAAATGTGTTTCAAAATTGTTTGAGTGAAAGTAACTATGAAAATAATTATTTAAACAACCCAAACCATTGTTTGATTGTCGTAGAAAATGTAGTAGGAATCACAGTACAGCACTGTATAGTGAGTATAATTACAAATACTAGCCCTTCAATAAAGGCTAGGCTAATTAATTGGGCTAGGAGCATGGGCCAAAGCTAGACAGACGGCGCCTGATTTTCGCTGCGGTTCGCGATCTGAACTTTTTGGGAGTAGGTTAACGACTGGTGTATAGGCCGCACCCCAAACTTCGAGGGGAAAATCGCGTATAAAATTTGCAGCTTATTCACCGGAAAATACGGTTTATGGAGCAAAAACTTGTGTTTCTTCATGATTTTAAGGGGGGGGGGGCGCAGGAGAATTTGTATAAGGCTGGGCAGAAGGCCTTAATTAAAAATAGCTTTAGGATGGGCGCAAGATGTCAAGAGTGGGCGGCGCCGCCCACCTCCGCCCTGCATAACGTCATCCCTGCACTTCTCAGAACCCCTTACCCCCTCCTGCTTTCATAAATTTCTGGATCCGCCTCTGATTTTTTTTTACTCAAAATGAAACTACTGTATTACCTTACACAATCATTATTCAAAAAGATACAATCAAGTTATTGCAATTCACAAATGTACATTGATTTTTTACGTACAAAGGAACGTACGCACCCGCAGGGTTCTGATTTAACTGGATAATTATAATAAAGATAGTAAAACACTTCCAGTGACTGGAAGTGTTTCTATCTTTTTTTTCCTGTAAAATGATGGTTTTTATGGGTAAGCATTTTTTACATATACAAATTTCTATGTTCAAGTTGATAATTTTTATGTTACTTCAAAATGGGCAAGTAAATTTGAAAAATGATTTTTATGATTTTTTTTTTTTGTTTTTTGCAAGGGACAGTACATTTTTATCAAATTGTGTTTCACCTTTATTTTGTGTTGTCACCGTCATTTTCACTATTTACTATCGTCTTTAAAATTTTTGTCAGTACCAGACCTTGTCATTTGAAAATCGCAGGCGAGCAATCACTATACAGTGCAATTAACAGGAGTCAACAAGACATCAAATTTAAACTTCCAATATTTACATGTAGAGAAATAATAAAGTGCACTCTCCCAATACCGACCTAGTGTAACATGTCTATTGAACCCTTTCCGAACGAGCATGTTGTAGGCCAGCTAAGCTATGGCCTAGCCACGGAGGCATACTGTATGCCTATCTAGCAAAAGACCCGTGGGTTCGGTATGACTAGCCTACAAAAAGTTAACATACATACAGTGTACTGTAAAGCAAATCTAATTACCAATAAAACCAATGTTTTTATATTGTTTTTACATGCATTTTTGGTCTGATATTTTCCCCCTAAACACAACACATTCTTCGTATCCTACTCACGATACCACATGCTGGTCGGTTGTTGCATCCATGGTTGTTGTAAACATCAGACATCAGGTCGCGCCTCCTAAACTCTGCCAGCTAATTGGTTAAGTTTTCATGGGGTCATGTGTGCAAACATGTGCTTGGCTGTGATGACGTCAGATCGCCCAAAGTTTCAGTACGTGACAGCTTGAACGAACTCAGTGTATTTCGCCTATATTGGATATTGGATATACATTTTCGCCAACATGTTTCTCAAAAGTGTCTTGTTTGAAGAATAAGTGAAGCTATGCATTTGTAACTTACATTGATGAATCTAACGACATCCAAATCCGAATAAACATCTACCAAAAAAAAGTCAGCCAACGTAGAAACTTGCTTTGAGTTCCGTCTTCATTTCAGGTTGATTCCAATCGATTTTTAAGGAGCGATAATGCACTTTATTAAACAATGGAAGGTGTAATTTTGGGGTTCACTCGATAGTCATAAGGTTCGCTATTTATAAGGTCCACTGTTCATAAGTTCTGCTAGTTATAAAGACAATTGTTCATAAGGTTCACTATTCATAATTTCTTTAACTCTTTCGCTACGGCGAGCCGCTCACAGCGGCGCAGATAAAATATGCAGTTTGAGCGGAAAGCTGCTGACAGCGGCTTGTTGACGTCACTGTAAACAAATGAGGATATCCAGGGGATATCCCCATGACGTTTGCATATATTATATTGAACAACAATCTGCATGACATTTGACCTTATTTTGAGCCGTTGAGGGCGGCTCTCTGTCTGAATAAAGGCTGAAACAGGCTTCAAGCAGGCATTGTTGTTTTGAGTAACATTTCAATGGCTGCCCTTGGGAGACGTTTTAACTGCAGAAGAAGTGCTTCGCAGACTTGCACAGGTCTCTTATACACATCTAGATGTGTATAAGAGACAGCCTGAGGGAAACTTCGGAGGGAACCAGCTACTAGATGGTTCGATTAGTCTTTCGCCCCTATACCCAAGTTTGACGATCGATTTGAA